GAAGTGGTGCTGTGGCTCAAGTGGTAGAGCGCTAGCCTTGAGCTGAAGAGCTGAGGGACAGCGCCCAGGCCCAGAGTTCAGGACCCACAACTGACCAAAAAAAAAAAAAAAAAAAAAAATCCATTCAGTATGTTCAAAGGCAAGCACAAAATCTGTGTGAGGGTGGGCAGGGCCCCTGGGGGCCTTGCTCACTGGGTACTCACTCTGAAACCTTATGGGGCTGCACAGGACCAGGTGCTTTTCTTGGTAAGTACTTCATTAAAACTCACTTTTAAGAAAAGCACTTTTGGCTGGGCACTGGGGCCCATGCCTGTAGCCCTGGCTGCTCAGACTGAGATCTGAGGAGTGGAGTCCAACGATCTTCAAGGCAGCAAATCCTGCAGACATGGTCCCTTTGTCTTGGTCCTGCCAAGCACAGGGGGGTGCTGAATGCTGATGGCTAAATGTGGCCTCTTCTGCCAGTGGGGACCCTGGCCTGTGCAGGAGATCACTCTCAGTGACCAGCCCAGACTCCCACCTGTCTATTCTCGGGCGTGCTGCTCACAGGCCATGTGGCAGGCCTGAATCTTTCTGCCCGAGTCACCTCACGAAGGCCTTTTCTGCAGCCCGGCCCAGCATGCATGGGCCGTGTAGAGAAACCCCAGCACAGAGCACCAGCATGGGGCGTGCACGCCACCTGGGCTGCAAACAACCAGGGGATGAGCAGCAGTGCAGCAGGCTCCCCACAAAACAGCAGTGTGCCCAAGACAAGGGGACTGCTTGCTTATCAACACTCTATGATTTCAACCTCAGTGCCTTTGACACAAACCCACCCACACAGTGACAGATACTAAGAAATGAATGCACACAACAGGGCCACACCACCACAACAAAATAAATAAATTCCCTTCTACAAAGAACTTGAACCTCTCAGTGGTCCATAAACTTCTCACCAACCTGATCACACACACAGCAGAGCAATCCTGTTTAAAGATGGCAAAACATCAAACAGTCTTCAGAAAGGCTGATGTGTCTTTCCTTTAGTTCCATGGAGAGAGAGGGGCTCAACTGCAGCAGCCCTGGGTGCTACCCTGAAAGCTTGAGACCCACTCCGGAGCACACAGGGCCACCCACCCTCTAGACAAACCTTGGATGGTTTTGTTTTAAGTACCAGTAAGACCAAAACGAATGCACGGATCCTAAAGGCTGCCCGGCCACAGGTCTATCAAGAAGTCAGGCAAGAAACTCCTGTTCACTCAGGAGGGCAGCTACTGCACTACTTCCAGTGCATGGACCTGCCAGCTTCTCTCCCGAGTCACTTGCATAGGAATCTACGAGCCGCCTCCCAGCAGAGGACCGGTATGCAGCTTCAGCTCGCTCACTTGGAGATACTGAGGCAGCCAGCAGCAGCAGCCACATCAGCACCAGGAGCTGCAAGCCTCCTGTTGGTAGAGTGGGAGATGAGGGTGAGCGTGAGTGGAGGATAGGATGAAGATGGTTGAAGTAGTTTACTGCACAGAATACAGAACAATGAGCAGGGCCAGTGGCTCACGCCTGTCATCCCAGCTACTCAGGAAGCTGAGATCTGAGGATCGCGGTTCAAAGCCAGCCCAGGCAAGAAACTCCACGAGACTCTTATCTCCAATAAATACTGAAAAAAGCTGGATGTGGTGCTATGGCTCAAGTGGTGGAGTGCTTGCCTTGAGCAAAAGCAGCTCAGGGACAGTGCCCAGGCTGAGTTCAAGCCCTAGGACCAGGAGGAAGGAAGAAAAGAAGGGAGGGAGGGACGGAAGGGGGAGGGAAGAAAAGGGAACAATGGGGCTGGGCAGGTGGCTTAGTGGTTGAATACTTGCTTGGCATGCATGAAGCCCCGGGTTTGACTCCTCAGCAACACATACAAAGAAAAAGCCAGAAGTGGTGCTGTGGCTCAAGTGGTAGAGCGCTAGCCTTGAGCTAAAGAGCTGTGGGACAGCACCCAGGCCCACGACCGACATAAAAGAAAAGAAAAAGAAAAAAAAAGGAGAACAATGAAGTCTACTGAAACTGTTTAGAAGGGGTAAAGAGTGGCAGGATGAGTTTGGGGAAAACACCATATAATGTATGGAAATGTCACAGGAAACTCCCCGTGCAACCAATGCATGCTAATTTTAAAAGTTGTTTTTAACAAGCTCCCTCCTTCTGAGCAGCCCCACCACCTCTCCAACAACCGACACGGAGGAGCACAGCATGGGAGCAGCTCCATTCCCATTCCCAGCAGGCTTGAGCTGCCCCGGGGACACCCGAGGTCATCCTGCGCAAAGCACCCTGGCCCAGCTCGTCCTTGCCACCCCCCACTCCATGCGGCCAGCACTCGCTGACCAGGTACGCCCGACATCACACGGCCAGTGCCTGCGGACCAGGCTTCCCATAACACAGCACAGGAGCACAAGCATCTTACCTGACTTGCTCCCAAGTCCTGGTGGCCAAATGCAGGACCCAGAGATCCCTGTAGTGGTAGAACTGCTCCCCATCAGGAGATGCAAATTCCCCTCCAAAGACCCACAGCTGCCCACCGCCCTGAGGCACCACCACAGCCTGTGGAAAGAAAGGACAAGTCAACCACATAGCAGCACCATCCTCACTGACCTGAGGGCCCACCACAGCCAGTGGAAGGAAAGGTACTGGGGCTTGAACTCAAGGCCTACACGTTCTTCGTCAAGACTGGTACTCTACCACTTGAACCACACCTCCTTTTCTGGCTTTTGGTGGCTAACTGGAGATAAGAGTCTCAAGGACTTTCCTGCCCAGGATGAGGAACCAGCTGTTCTGGGCTCAGGACTGTGGTGGTAGGAGGGGACAGGCCCTCCTTATGGAGCTCAGGGAGCACCTGAGAGGCACAGAGCTTGACAACGCTCTTCCTGTCAGCAGAAACCAGCTAGCTCGGCTAACTTTCTTCTAGAATAATTCCTTTCCTTCCACCATTTGCCCCTTTCCTGAACATGCCACACCCCGGGAGTCCCCTCTCTCAAGTGGAGTGGAAAGCAGCGTTCTGCTGAGACGCTGTGACACATTAGAGACCAGAGGTACTTCCACAGAGTATGTCACATCCTCCTCCCAGACAGCAGATGAGCAACACAACCGAAGAAACTTAGCAAAGCAGAGCCAACGCCAGCCCTAGGCCAGCCTCTGGGAGGCGGAGGCTCCTGCCACTTCCAGACTCTGACTCAGGGAGCGGGTGAGGGCCGTACTGCCGTCACCTGGTGAGCACAGCGCCTCGGAGGTGGACCAGGGATGTCAACACTGGTCCAGGTGTTTTTTCTGGTATTGTAGACATAGAGATCGTTGTATACAAAAGTCTGCAAGAAGAAAGAGGAACATCAATGTCATGAAAGATATGCAGACAAGTAACAACATTGATGAGACTGTGCCCAGCTATCAGAATTCCCCAGGAATCATACCACTTTAAGTCAAGGCCAAGCACAGTGCCTCATACCTGTAACCTCAGCTAGTTGGAAATTAGAAGGATGATGTGTGAGGCCCACCCCAGCAAAAAGTTAACAAGATTCCATCTCAACAAGTCAGGAATAAGCAGTGATTTCACTGCTCTTTTGATTTTTTTTTCTTTTTGTTGAGTCCGGTCATGGGGCCTGAACTCGGGGCCTGGGCGCTGTCCCTCAGCTCTTCAACTCAAGGCTAGCACTCTACCATTTGAGCCACAAGCGCCACTTCCGGCTTTTTTCTTTTTGCATATGTGGTGCTGAGGAATCGAACCCAGGGCCTCAGGCATGCAAGGCAAGCACTCTACCACTGAGCCACCTTCCCAGCCCCTGCTCTTTTGATTTTAAGTCTGTTTTTTTCTTTTCTATTTGCTTTTTATTGTTGTTGTTGGTCCTGAGGTTTGAACGCTGGACCTGGAAGCTGTTCCTGAGCTACTTTTGCTCAAGGCTAGCAATCTACCACTGGAGCCACAGCTCTACTTCAGGATATTTCTGTAATCTTAATTGGAGATCAGAGTCTCACAGACGTTCCTGCCTTCTGAGGATTATAAACGTGAGCCACCGGTGCCCAGCTAGACCAACCATTTTTTTTTAATTGTCACTCAGCTCTTCAGCTCAAGGTGAGCACTCTACCACTTGAGCCACAGCACCACTTCTGGCTTTTTCTGCTTATGTGGTGCTTAAGGAATAGAACTCAGGGCCTCGTGCATGCAAGGCAAGCACTCTACCACTGAGCCACCTTCCCAGCCCCTAAACCAACCCTTTTTAATCGACTGCCACATGCAATTTCAAAACAAGAGCTTTTTGGCCTGCTCAAAAGTAAAAATTGACTTCACAACTTATCAGTATTTTCTTTATTCAACATTACCTTGAGGACTGGGGTGCACCCTCAGTGGCAGAACACCCATCCCCTAGCGTGTGCAAGGCCCTGGGATGGATCTCCAGCACCACAGAACAAAGCAAGATAACTGTAAATGTGAACCATGAATGCCATGAGGAATCAAGGCACGGCAACCAAGGCAGTGGGCAGACCACAGGTCAACCATCAGCAGTAGGGCCAGCAATGACCAAGGAGGAGAGCTGAGTTCTGGCACTCAGATGAGGCCCTTGCTGAACAGAGGCTGCAGGGCCGCTCAGTATCTGAGGGTCCTGCAAGGGTCATCAACACCCATAGCCTGATGCTTGAAAGGTGGGCTACTTAGGGGGAGCAGAAGGAGCGGCGTGCAATCCTGTGACAACTTTAAAATAACTCTTGCTTTGAATGAGGCCAAGAAAAAAAGAAAAAGAGAAAATATATATACTTTACTTTTTGGCCATTGAAATATTCACCTCCGAAAAGGATTAATTCATCTTTCTCTGGATGGACGGAGAGGGAGGCGTTTAACCTGAAAGACACAAGCAGCAGATGAGCGCACAGTTACATGCCAGACTCCCTGTACCAGTGTAGCTTCCACAGGAGATGAGCCCCTCCCACACCTCTGTGAAAGAGGCCCAAGAACCACACTGCTGCCTCCAGCAGTTCATACTCCCAGGTGTGAAAAAAACTGTCTTTTCCATCACAATGGGTTGCTAGAAAGTTCTCTCTTTGGCCTGAAAGCAAAAGAGGAACTGCTCTGGGATAAGCAAGTAGTTTTGAAAAGTAAGGTTTTGTCTTAACTATTTTTTCCAAGATGGAATTAAGACATACCTCAGAAAACAAATATCAGAAATAGAGGATGCAAGTACATTTTTAAATTACTTATGTACTGTTAATCTTTTTTTTTTTCCCCCAGTTGTGGAGCTTGAACTTAGGGCCTGGGCACTGTCACTGAGCTCTTCTGCTCAAGGCTAGCACTTTATCACTTTGAGCCACAGCCATACTTCTAGTTTTTGAGTAGTTAATTGGAGATGAGTCTCATGGGGACTTTTCTGCCCAGGGTGGCCTTCAACCAACCATAATCCTCAGATCTTAGCCTCCTGTGTAGGTAGGGTTACAGGCGTGAGCCACCAGTGCCCAGCTTGTACTGTTAAATCTTATTCCAAAGTTACCTTCTGGATATACATTTTACCCTATTCAAATCTGCCAATCTTGAGCAGACTGTAAACCTGAGCTCAGAGGGGCAGGGCTAGCTGTGTTAGGGATAAACAGGGTCACAGCCTGCCTGTTCTGTGTGCTTGCTCGGCTGATGGAGTCACACCCTTTTGCAGAATTAAATTTTGCATTGCTGAGACAACTCCTTATTTTCATGTCTATTGTGACTCCAATGGTTCTTGGAGAGCACATTTATGAGACACTTAGCTCAGGGCCTGCAGATGTCCCCAGGAATGAAGAAATCTTATATCTAGACCTCACCTCCAGACCTCTTCCTGCACTCAGGTGAGGAAAATGGTCATTCAGGAGGCATAGCCCTGATGTCACACAGCTTTGCAACTTATAGAAACAAATGGAGCAGAAACTAGGAGAGACAAGGGGTCTGCTGGCTTACCGTGGAGAAGGTGGGGGGCATGGGGTCTCAGTGACCTGGGTCTTCTTGGCATCCAGCGTCTGGAAATGGGCTATGAGAGCTTCCAGGTCTTCCTAGGAGCACACAAGCAGCTGCAAGTGAGGCTCATTCTAAAACTGCAACAGGCCAGCTTTCCTCCCCTGCAAGTCTCACTGCACAGGAATCTGCTCACGAATCCTAACACTCTGGCTAGGTTTGAATACATAGAGTGTGCCTCATTAAAAAAGGTATTCAACCAGGAGCTGGTGGCTCACACCTGTAATCCTCTACTCAGGAGGCTGAGATCTGAGGATTGAGATTGGAAGCCAGTTAGGACAGGTAAGTTCATGAGACTCTCATCTCCAATTAAAAAGCAAAAAGCCAAAAGTGGAGCTGTGGCTCACATGGTACAGTTAGTCTCGAGAAAAAAAAAAAAAAGGGACAGCGTCTTGGCCCTAGGTTCAAGCTCCAGGGCTGACACAAACCAGTAGTAGTAGGGCTGGGAAGGTGGCTCAGTGGTAGAGCACTAGCCTTGACCTGAAGACCTGGGGAACAGCGCCCAGGCCCAGAGTTCAGGCCCCACGACCAACCAACCCCCCCCCAAAAAAAAACAAAAACAAAATAGCAGTAGTAGTAATAGTAGTAGTAGGCCGGGCGCCTGTCCCAGCTACTCAGGAGGCTGAGATCTGAGGACCGCGGTTCGAAGCCAGCCCGGGCAGGAAAGTCCGTGAGCACATAAACTACTCAGAAAAGGCCCGACGTGGCGCTGCGGTGCGCCCGAGAGGCTCGGGGCGGCGCCCAGGTCCTGAGTTCAAGCCCCAGGGCCGGCACGGAGGAGGGACGCGTCTGGGGGCCGCGGCCCGGCGCCTCACCTCCTCCTTCCGCGAGCGCTTGGACGCCTTCTTCTCCATCTTGGCGGCCGTCTTCTCGGCGCCGCGGCCCTTCTTCTCCTTCTTGCCCTTTTTGCCCATGGCGCCGGGCGCGCACGGCTGCGGGGCCCGAGAGCGAGCGAGGCTCGACG